GATATTATCCGTTATATCAAAACCACGAGGGACAGTCCGGGATCATTTACTGCCTGAGCCGCAAGAAGGTCGAGGAACTGGCCGAAACTGCTGGCCGCAAAAACATCAAGGTCGCTCCGTACCATGCCGGGATGGATGCCGCGACGCGGGCCGGCAACCAGACAAGTTCTTGCACGAACAGGTCGACGTAATCGTGGCGACCATCGCGTTCGGGATGGGGATCGACAAGCCCGACGTGCGTTATGTGATCCATTACGACATTCCGAAAAGTCTCGACGGGTATTATCAGGAGACCGGCCGCGCCGGCCGCGACGGCGGGGGCGGCAGTGCATCGCCTTTTACAGTTACAGGATATCCAGAAGCTCGAAAAATTCATGCAGGGCAAACCGTTGGCCGAGCAAGAGATCGGCAAGCTGCTTGCAGGAGACGGTCTCCTATGCCGAGAGTTCGGGTGTCGCCGCAAGACGTTGCTGCACTATTTCGGCGAGGAGTTTCCCGAGGAGAACTGCGGTTGCTGCGACAACTGCGTCAATCCGAAGCCGCGTTTCGAGGGCGCGACCACCTGCGGTTGCTGCTGCGCGTGTTGCAGGCCATCGGCGATAAGTTCAAGGCCGACTACCTGGTCAACATGTTGGTCGGTCGCAACAACGCCCTGATCAAGTCTTATAATCACCATAAGAGCGAGTGGTTCGGCATCGGCGACGATCACAACGACCGTTTCTGGGGAGCCGTAGTGCGCCAGGCGTTGATCCGGGCTGGTCGACCGCAACATCGAGAATTACGGCCTGCTGTCGATCAACGAGCGGGCGAGGAGTATATCGAGAATCCCTATTCGGTGATGATGACCGCCGACCACGAGTACGATGATACGGACGACGACGAGTCGGTTTCGCCGCCGGCCGGCAAGGCGGGGTAGCCGACGAGGAACTTTTCGCGATGCTGAAGGACCTGCGCAAGAAGGTGGCCCGGCAGATGGAGTTGCCGCCGTTCGTGGTATTCCAGGATCCGTCGCTCGAAGACATGTCGATTCAGTACCCGGTTACGCTTGAGGAGATGCAGAACATCACGGGCGTCGGCGTCGGCAAGGCAAAGAAGTTCGGCAAGCCGTTCGTCGAACTGATCAAGAAATACGTCGATGAAAAAGACATCGTCCGTCCGCAGGACATGGTGGTCAAGAGCGTGGTCAACAAGAGCGGCAACAAGGTGTTCATCATTCAGAGCATCGACCGTCAGATGGATTTTGAAGACATTGCCAAAGCGCGCGACATGGATTTCGAAGAGCTGCTCGGCGAGATCGAAGCCATCATCCATTCCGGGACGAAACTCAATATAGGCTATTACGTGAACGAGGTGATCGACGAGGAGAAGGCCGAAGAGATCTATCTCTATTTCAAGGAGGACGCCGAGAGCGATTCGCTCGAAGAGGCGGTCAAGGAGCTCGGCCCCGATTTCACCGAAGAGGAGATCCGGCTGGTAAGGGCCAGGTTCATGAGCGAAATGGGGAACTGATCAACGGTAATACGGCGGAATGATGCCGGACTCGTCCGATACGGGTCCGGCATAACGTTAATTGCCGGGGGGCTTTCCCTGCATAATGGAGGAAAGGACGAAGCGTTGTGATTAGAAATTGTTTAAATAATCTGATTATGAATAAATTGGGTGTAATGAAGTTGCGAAAAAGGATTTGGAACGGATCGTTGTGTTTGGCCGCAGCGGTTTTTACGCTGTGCGCGTGCAGCAAAGATGAGTCGGATCCGCCGCTTGCGGCCGGAGACGTGGCTGTGGACGTGGTGCTGACGCCCCGCGGTTTCGAAGATCAGATTTACACCTCTTATCTTTACATGATTCCGTTCGTAACGGACTACCAGGGCGTGAATGTGGAAGGGTTGCTGACGAAAGATATTTTCAAGCTGTCGCTGGTGAGTCCGCGTAGCGGGGCGACGATCGGACTGAAGATGCACGAAAGCGAGCTCAACGAAGAGGTCGTCGGACAATATACGCTGCCCCGCAGCGGGGATACGTTGTGGATGCAGCCCCGCATGGTCTGGAAGTACGATGCGTTGCGCCGGTTCGACCGGACGCGCAACCTGGCGCTGCGCTGGACGATCTCGGCCGACGGCAGGGAGATTTGTACCGTCGATCGCACCTTTTCGTGCCGTTCGGTCAGTCAGTGTGTGAACGCCTTGATCGTATATCCGTACGAACGGCCGCAGGGGCTGGTCGTCAACGAGGACGATGCGGTCGAAATTCCCGAGATGTTCGCCGGTTACGTCGAAGAGGAAAATCCGGAGATCGACCGGATTATGGAGCAGGCGCTTCAGGAGGTCGCTTTGCCGTCGGGATTCAACGGTTACCAGTCGGGCGATGAAAATTACCTGTTTCAGCAGATGTGCGCGATCTGGTACGTTTTGCAGCAAACTGGGGTCAGTTACAGCAATGCGACCCAAATTCCCGGTCAGGCGGAGGATGTCAGGGTGCAAAATGTTCGTTTTTTTAGTCAGGCTTTGGCCAGCGCGCAGGCGAACTGCGTGGAGGGAACCTGCATGCTGGCTTCGATCTACCAACGGTTCGATCTGTTTCCGTACTTGATTCTGAAACCGAATCACATGTTTTTGGGCATCGGCGATGCGAACGGGGATCTGACTTATTTTCTCGAAACGACCATGATCGGTAACGTCCGGCTGGACGCTCTGACGACGGCGGAGGAGAAATGGGAGGCGAGCAAGGCCAATTTTAAAAACGCAATGGCGGTGGCGAAGGAGAATTCGACGAGGTGAAGTCCCGTGTGGATGCCGGAGATCCGTATTATGCGGTGATCGACCTGAAAGAAGCCCGGAAAACGATCCCGTCGATCAATTACGGCAGCGTACGAACCGATTCGAAAGGCAAAGTGATGTTGGTGCGCTGATAACGTGACGGAGAGACCTATGTATGTAAAACCCAAAAACACCTCGGTCAGCATTTCCTGACCGATTTGTCGGTCGCGAAACGGATTGCGGACAGCCTGCGGGCCGATCGTTGCTCCACGGTGCTCGAAGTGGGGTGCGGCACCGGCGTGCTGACGAAGTTCCTGCTCGAAAGGACGGATATTACGCTCTACGGCGCCGAAGTCGATACCGAGAGCGTCGCTTACTTGCACGAGCATTATCCGCAGTTCGCGCCGCGGTTGATCGAAGGCGATTTTTGCGAATGGATCTGGCGCAGCGGTTTCCCGACGGGGTAAACGTGATCGGTAATTTCCCGTACAATATTTCGTCGCAGATTTTTTTCAAAATTCTGGAATACCGCGACCGGGTGCCCGAAGCGGTCGGGATGGTGCAGCGCGAGGTGGCCGTGCGGATAGCCGAAAAGCCCGGTACGAAAGACTACGGGATTCTGAGCGTTTTTTTGCAGGCTTTTTACGATATCGAGTACCTGTTTACGGTCGGCGAGGGGGTGTTCAACCCGCCTCCGAAAGTCAAGAGCGCCGTGATCCGCTGACGCGCAACGGGGTGGAGAGACTCGGTTGCGACGAGGCGCTGTTCGCCCGGTGGTCAAGGCCGTTTTCAACCAGCGCCGCAAGACGATCCGCAATTCGCTGCGCGCCGCGTTCGGCGACCTGGGAGGAGACGAACATGCGTTTTCCCGCTGCGTCCCGAGGTGTTGAATGTCGCTCAATCGTCGAACTAACCGATTGGGTAGCCGACGGCTGCCCCGAAATAACCGAACTTAATTTTAATTCATGAAAAGGATCATTTTACTTGGATTGCTGTTGGCCGGAAATATCGGCCTTCGGGCGGCCGGCACGGAGGGGCTGCGTTGCGAATACCTCGATAATCCGCTGGGGATCGACGTGACGTCGCCGCGGCTGAGTTGGAAAGTCGTTTCCGGCAAGCGCGGGGACTGCCAGACCGCTTACCGCATTCTGGTGGCCTCTTCTGCGGAACTGCTGAAAAAGGATCGGGGGGATCTTTGGGACAGCGGCCGGGTGCCTTCCGACCGGTCGATTCAGGTCGAGTATGCCGGCAAGCCGCTGGAATCCCGTATGCGCTGTTACTGGAAGGTGCAGGTGTGGGATGCCGCGGGGAAGGCGGGGCGTGGAGCGAGCCCGCGATGTGGAGCATGGGGCTGCTGACCGAACGGGATTGGGGCGGCGCCCGTTGGATTGCCTACCGCGACGATGCGCAGTGGCGCGAGCAGTGGCAGGCTCACAAGGATCGGGAGAACAGTCACCGCGAACCGACGTGGCCGTGGTTCGTCGGAACCGGCCGGACGATTTGGGAACTGTACGATATGGCTTCTCCGCATTACGATCCGTCGCCGCTGTTTCGCAAAGAATTCGCGCTCGGGAAGAAAGTGAAGGCAGCTACGCTGTACGTGACCGGGGTGGGGTATTACGAAGCCTTTCTGAACGGAAAAAAAATCGGCGATCACGTCCTCGATCCTGCCTGGACGAATTTTCATAAACGGACGTTTTACGTAACCTACGATGTGACCGCCGATGTCCGGCGCGGGGACAACGCGCTGGGATCATGGTCGGACGCGGACAGTACAACCCGTTGTGCAACGATATCTGGCGATTGGGCAGCTCCTGTGGGTCGGACAGCCGAAGGCGATCGCGTTGCTCAGCGTCGAATACGCCGACGGGACGACTGCTGATATAGTGACCGACGGCAGTTGGACGACCGCCGGCGGTCCGATTCTTTACGACGATACCCGGCACGGGGAGTTGTACGACGCCCGCGAAGAGAAAGCCGGGTGGAACCGGCCGGGATTCGTCGCGGACGGCTGGAGGCCCGCGGCCGTGGTCGACGGCAGCGGGCCGCTGTATGCCCAGATGATGCCGCGGTACGTTGTTTCGCTCCGATCGCCCCGGTCAAAACCTTCGATAAAGGGAACGGACGTACGGCTTACGATATTGGCCGGAACATCGCCGGGTGGGCGCGGGTGCGCGTCAGCGGTCCGGCCGGAGCGCGGGTGCTCGTGGAGTACTGCGAACTGCCATCCGATCCGGAACTCGTGCCGGATATCCATCCGTCGAAAATGAAATTCAAAATCGGCGATCCCGATTACGCGTCGTTTTACGACAAGTCGATCAATATCCGGCAGCAGAACGGTTACATTCTTAAAGGCGGCGGGCCGGAGACGTTCGAATGTCGTTTTTCGTACAAAGGCTTCCAGTATATCCGCGTGACTGCGGACGAGGGGTTACCGTCGAGCGGGTCGAAGGCGTTCCGGTGCATACCGACGTGGCCGACGCCGGATCGTTCGTCTGTTCGAACGAGACCGTGAACCGCTTGCAGCAGATGTCGCGCGCGACGCTGCTGAACAACATCCACAGCATCCCGACCGACTGTCCGCACCGCGAGAAGCAGGGCTGGACGGCCGATACCTATATGACCGACCAGACGGCGATCTACAATTTCGATATGGCGGCTTTCTATGCGAAATGGGCGACCGACCTGGCCGGTACGGCCGACCGGAACGGCGGACTGTGCACCGTGGCGCCGTCGACCGGGTACGACCAGAGCATTTCGACCGTGTGGCCGGCCGCCATCGTGTTCGTGCCGTGGGATCTGCTGTGCTATTACGGCGACCGCCGCGTGGTGGAGCGGCATTACGAAACGATGAAGCGTTTCGCCGAAAGCAGCCTGCTGCGTCAGGCGGACGGCAAGCCGGAGATCATCCGCGAGGTGCTCGGCGATTGGGTGTCGCCGCACATGACGCTGTCCGATACGCTGCAATCTTATGAGATGGCGCCGCCCGAAGGGCTGACTCTTTACGGACGGCTTCGCACTACCGCGTCGTGAAATACCTCGCCGGGATCGCGCGTTACCTGGATCGCCCGCAGGAAGCCGAGCGGATGGACGCCTGGGCCGCGCGGATCGCCGAGAGTTTCAACCGCGAGTTTTTCGATCCGGCTACGAAGACCTATCACGGGGATAAGCCGACTCCGTACCGCCAGGCGGCGAACGTCGTTCCGCTCGAATACGGGATCGTTCCTCAGAGCGACCGGGACGCGGTACAGCGGAACCTGATTTCCGATCTGCAGAAGTACGACGGCCGCATCGGAACCGGCTTCGTCGGTACGATGGCCCTGATGGATCTGTTGCCGCAAGTCGATCCGGAATTGGCTTACCGGCTGGCGACCCAGCCCGCCTATCCGGGGTGGGGCTTTATGGTGGCCAACGGAGCCAATACGATGTGGGAAACGTGGGACGGCTCGGCTTCGCGCAACCATCCGCCGTTCTGCCTGATCAGCGGTTATTTCTACAAGTACCTGGCCGGATCCGTTGCGTTTCGGAATATCCCGGATTCAAACGTTTCGTGATCGACCCGTCGGTGGTCGGCGATCTGACTTTCGTCGAGGCGTGGCACGATTCGATGTACGGTCGGATCGAAAGCGGCTGGAAGCGCGACGGCGAGCGGTTGACGCTCGACGTGACGGTGCCGGTCAATACGTCGGCGGTCGTTCACGTGCCGGCTGCGTCGGCGGAAGGGATCACCGAATCGGGCCGTCCGGCGGCGGAGGCCCCGGGCGTTCGGTTCTTGCGGATGGAGAACGGCAAGGCGTTGTACGAAGTGGTTTCGGGCACTTATCGTTTTCAAGTTCTATTTAAATAAAAAGTGTGTCGGATCGTGCGTATTTGCCGGTTCGACACATTTTTTGTCAAATAAAGCTATCTTTGTGTAACGAATTGAAAAAAATATAGTTTTATGAAGGTATTGTGTTGGCGGGGGGCAGCGGTACCCGGCTCTACCCGATTACCAAGGGGGTGTCCAAACAGTTGCTTCCGATCTATGACAAGCCGATGATCTACTATCCCATATCGGTGCTGATGCTGGCCGGTATCCGGGATATCCTGATTATTTCGACGCCCGAAGACCTGCCGATGTTCCGGCGGCTGCTCGGCGACGGTTCGGATTACGGCGTGCGTTTCGCGTATGCCGAACAACCTTCTCCGGACGGATTGGCACAGGCGTTCCTAATTGGCGAGGAGTTTATCGGCGGGGACGACGTTTGTCTCGTGCTGGGCGATAACATATTTTACGGACAGAGTTTTACGAAGATGCTCGGCGAGGCGGTCGCACAGGCCGGAGAGCAGGGGAATGCGACCGTATTCGGTTATTATGTCAACGATCCGGAGCGGTACGGCGTTGCCGAGTTCGACGCCGCGGGCAACGTGCTTTCGATCGAGGAAAAGCCTGTGCAGCCGAAATCCAATTATGCGGTAGTCGGACTCTATTTTTATCCGAACCGGGTGGTCGAGGTCGCCCGGACGATCAAACCGTCGGCGCGCGGAGAACTGGAGATTACGACGGTCAACCAGCGGTTCCTACAAGAAAAAGCGCTGAAGGTGCAGTTGCTGGGTCGAGGATTCGCCTGGCTGGATACCGGGACGCACGATTCGCTCAGCGAAGCGTCGAATTTCATCGAAGTGATCGAGAAACGACAGGGTTGAAAGTAGCCTGTCTCGAAGAGATCGCTTTTAACAAGGGATGGATCACGCGGGAAAAGCTCCGGGAATTGGCAAAGCCGATGTTGAAAAACGGATACGGCCGATATCTGTCCGGGTGTTGTAGTCCGGTTTGTCGAAGACGGTATGAATTTAAATATGAAAGAACGGATATGCATGTTATAGAAACCGATTTACAGGGCGTCGTGATTCTCGAACCGCAAATCTTCGGGGATCACCGGGCTATTTTTTCGAAAGTTTTCGCAGCGGGAGTTTGCCGAAAGGTGTGCGAGACGGTGTTCGTGCAGGACAACGAATCGAAATCGAGCTATGGAGTATTACGCGGACTGCATTATCAACTGCCGCCCCACGCACAGAGCAAGCTGGTGCGGGTGATCCGCGGAACGGTGATCGACGTGGCCGTCGATATCCGCAGGGAATCGCCTACGTTCGGTCGGCATGTGGCGGTGGAACTGACCGGCGAAAACCATCGCCAGCTTTTTATTCCGAGGGGATTCGCGCACGGATTCGTCGTATTGAGCGACGAAGCGCTGTTCCAGTATAAGTGCGATAATTTCTACGCGCCGCAATGCGAGGGAGCGATCGCTTACGACGATCCGGCTTTGGGCATCGACTGGCGGCTGCCGGCGTCGGATATTGTCGTTTCAGAGAAGACCGGCATCATCCGCTGCTGCGCGATGCCGTATTGTTTAATGGCGTATTGTATTAAGCTATGAATATATGGTTACCGGCGGAAATGGACAGCTGGGTTGTTCGCTGCGGAAAGTTGCCGGAATGTACCCGCAGCACCGGTTCGTATTTACCGATGTCCCGGAGGCGGATATCACGGATCGGGCGTGTATCGCAGCTCTGGCGGAGAAACATGCGATCGACCTGATCGTCAACTGTGCGGCCTATACGGCGGTGGACAGGGCCGAAAGCGATGCCGAAACGGCGGCGAAAATCAACGTGCAGGGCTCGGAAGTGCTGGCCGGCGTCGCCCGGGAGCGCGGGATCGGTCTGATCCATATTTCGACCGATTACGTGTTCGACGGGGAGAGTTGTCATCCGCTGAAGGAAGACCGTCCGACCGCGCCGCAGGGCGTTTACGGCCGCACGAAACTGGCCGGAGAGCAGGCGATCGAAGCGAGCAGGTGCAATGCCTGCGTGATTCGTACCGCATGGCTTTACTCGGAGTACGGGAATAATTTCGTTAAGACGATGCTGAGGCTGGGCCGCGAACGCGATGAGCTGAACGTGGTGTACGACCAGGTCGGAACGCCGACTTATGCGACCGATCTGGCGCATGCGATCCTGCGGCTTGCCGAACGCGGCGTATCCGGTTTCGAAGTGTACCATTTCAGCGACGAGGGGGCGATCTCGTGGTACGATTTTGCGAAAGCGGTATTTGCGCTGGCGGGGATCGATATCCGCGTCGGAGCGATCGAGACGGCGGCTTATCCGACTCCGGCCCGTCGTCCGGCTTACAGCGTGCTTGCAAAAGATAAAATCAGGGAGGCCGGCGTCCGTGTTCCCTACTGGCTGGATTCGCTGCGGGAATGCATGGCGATCCTGTCCGTCCCGACCGAAAAATAAAGACAAAAAGCGATGAAAAAGAACATTCTGATTACCGGAGGAGCCGGGTTTATCGGCTCGCATGTCGTCCGGCTGTTTGTAAATAAATATCCCGATTACCGAATCGTCAACCTCGACAAACTAACCTATGCGGGCAACCTGGAAAACCTGCGGGATGTCGAAAATGCGCCGAATTATACGTTCGTAAAAGAAGATATTTGCCGCTATGAAAAGATGCAAGAGATCTTCCGGACGTATTCGATCGACGGGGTGATCCATCTGGCGGCCGAGAGCCATGTGGACCGCAGTATCAAGGATCCGTTCACTTTTGCGAAAACCAACGTGCTGGGGACGCTTTCGCTGCTTCAGGCCGCGCGTGAGTATTGGAACGGCGATTATGACGGCCGGCGTTTTTACCACGTTTCGACCGACGAAGTTTACGGCGCGCTGGGATTCGACGGGACGCTGTTTACCGAAACGACCAAGTACGACCCGCACAGTCCCTATTCGGCTTCGAAGGCGGGCAGCGATCATTTCGTGCGGGCGTTTCACGATACTTACGGACTGCCTACCGTGATTACCAACTGTTCGAACAACTACGGGCCTTATCAGTTTCCCGAGAAACTGATCCCGCTGTTTATCAATAATATTCGTCACGACAAGCCGCTGCCCGTCTACGGCAGGGGCGAGAACGTGCGGGACTGGCTCTATGTGGAAGATCACGCGCGGGCGATCGACGCGGTTTACCATCGGGGCCGAATCGCCGAAACCTACAACATCGGCGGTTTCAACGAATGGAAAAACATTGACTTGATCCGGGTGGTCATCCGGACGGTCGATCGTTTGCTGGGGCGTCCGGAGGGAGCGGGCGAAAAGCTGATCGCTTACGTGACCGATCGGGCGGGGCACGATCTGCGCTATGCCATTGATTCGACGAAGCTGAAAAACGAACTGGGGTGGGAACCGAGCCTGCAGTTCGAGGAAGGTATCGAAAAACCGTGCGCTGGTACTTGGACAATCAGGCGTGGCTCGACAGCGTGACCAGCGGCGAGTACGAAAAGTATTACGAGAAGATGTACGGGCGGCGGTAAGCCTGGCGATGTATTTTGTCCGGGGCGGTTGAATTGAGTTGATAACCGATCGTTTAAACGTTCAGCATATGTTGGTGGATGATATTGCATTGACGCTGTATCCCGGGGTGGGATCCAGGACGGCGATCCATCTGATCGCCTGTTTCGGTTCGGCGGAACGGCTATTCGCCGCGACTGCCGATGAAATCGTAGAACGGGCCGAACTGAGACCCGACCTGGCGCAGCGAATCAGCCGCCGGGAGTATCACGAACGGGCTGCGAAAGAGGTCGATTCGATCCGTCGCAACGGGATCCGGGCTATCGATTCGTTGTCGCCCGACTACCCGCAGCGGCTTCGGGAGTGTTCTGATATCCGCATGTGCTCTATGTCAGCGGGGATATCGATCTGAACCGGGGACGTTGGCTCACGGTCGTCGGCACGCGCGATTGCACGGTGTACGGGGCCGGCGTATGCGAACGGATTATCCGCGAAGTGGCCGGCCTGTGTCCCGATACCGTGGTGGTGAGCGGATTGGCTTTCGGGATCGACATTGCGGCGCACAGGGCTGCCATGCAGGCCGGACTCGCTACGGTCGGGGTCGTCGCGCATCCGCTGGATCGCATCTATCCGAGAGAACATACGCGGGATGCCCGCCGCATGGTGCACGAAGGCGGCGCCGTGGTGACCGAGTTTTGCAGCGGGTATAAGACCGAACGCTCTTCGTTCATTTGCCGGAACCGGATTATCGCCGGCCTGAGCGACGGGACGTTGGTCGTCGAATCGCACCGTCGCGGCGGCTCGCTGGTGACCGCGGGGATGGCCGACGGTTATCACCGGACCGTTATGGCCGTTCCGGGGCGCGTCTCCGACTCGTCGTCGGACGGGACGAACGGCCTGATCAAGAGCCTGAAAGCCCAGATGGTATGCTGCGGACAGGATGTGGTCGAGGCGCTGAACTGGCAGCCTGCCGATCCGTTGAACCGGTGCGGAAACCGGCGAGGCAATCGCCGATCGATATACTTGCCGGTTCGCCGGAAGAAGCGGTATTGCAGTTGATCGGCACCGACGTTCCCGTATCGTCGGAGGAATTGAGCCTGCGCAGCGGGATTGCGCCGCAGGAATTGTCGCCGCTGCTGTTGGAACTCGAATTTTCAGGATTGATCCGCTCGTTGCGGGGTAGTTTTTACGTCAGATGTTGATCGATACGCATAGCCATATGTACGACGTC